ATCGCTGGTCGATGGATCACGTCGAAATCCACGCTCCATTATCGCCAACAGTTTCTCGTACGGAAGAATGTTTAACAGAGCTTCCTATAACTTGGCAAGATCGGTGCTCCTCGGTAATTATTCGTTTAGTATGCGATGTGAATTAAAATTAATTAAGTTAAATTGCCGCCTTGGGGTAACCGACTTAAGTTCGCTCAGTCAGTGGTCATCCATCTGCACAGAAGCTCTGTCTCCTGGCGCGTCCGTCCGTCGAAGCACCTGCTACTCCATTTCCTGTTCCGGTGACCTTTCGAATTCCTTTATGACTTTTCTTTTGCGTCTGGTCAGTAAACCGGACGCGATTGTCTTGAAAGGGGGAGGGGAAGACCGCCTTTTCTTCAAACGGGCGGGTAAAATGAAGCCAAGCTTCTCGTCGCAGTTCTCTGTTGATCGAAGGCGCCGAGAGGAATAATTGGTCCAGAGAGCAAATAAGCAACTGAAGACCATGTAATTATTTTAATAATTATTATTGGTGATTAAACCAGAGGTTGGCGGCTTGTGTAGCACGCAGTGTTTGTTGCGACACGCGAAGACGTGGCCGTGGATGCGCGTAGCTCAGCTCTTTCCATAAAAGGCGTAAAATCAGCAGCTCCTTAAGGACTCTGTTCAGTAGAGATATTTATTCTTTATATTTATTATTATATTCCGTATTAGTCTGATATTCTTCTGTTCCTTCGTCCATCTCTTCATCGTCTGTTGAGCCTCGAACCTCAGCGCGCATGCGCAGAAACAAACACTCAAAGTTTGGGCGTCCCCCGTGCACACCAGCGCCAGACGAGACGCCGTGGCCATATTAGAGGCGCCTACTTTCCTGGAGGCACTGAGGAAAACAACGAAATCCTGAGTCGGGACTGAGGCATGAACCCAGATACGAATCAGGTGTGCCAACCGCTCGGCTGCGTGCGTCGTACACCCGTAAATCAGACCGGACGTCACTGAAGTTGGAAGCGGGAAAACCCCCAAGTAAGAACAAGTTGGAAAAAACTCGGTTTGGATTCTCGATCGCGAAGTTCCTGAGGCGTTGGCGTGTGATATTGGATGGGTACAAAATGGATCTCCTCGTCACTTCGTCCTTCGCATGTCGAGGTTTTCTCCAGCCTCTCCCTGCTCTCAGTTTCTTGTCCAGCTGCTGGGCGACCGTCAGCTTGTCAGGAAGGACTCTGTTCCGAAGAGTCGCCTCTTCGTGACGACCTAGGGCCTGAGACCGAGCGTGCGAGGTCTTACGTAAGCGCTGTTTCTCACATGACGTCACCTTGCGTCTTATTTCTGACAATGTAATTTTATTAATCGCACGAATAATCTTGAGATAAGAATCCTTTCCCCACGTTCTTTATGTAAGCGAGTGCCAACAGAATTGGGAAACTTCGCGTTCTTTGCACTGACTGCGTGTGTGTTTGTGTCTCGCTTCTAATCTGCGAGAACAAGAAACGCATTTCGACTGGACCGGGTACTGGGAGTCAACGTGACAAATTTCGGTCCCCTTTATTGCAATTAGCGTCTCCCGTTGAAAATGGAAGACAACGAAAAAATAAGTCGAAACACGACTCGTTCCGGGTTGTTCCCTTTGTCTCTCCGTTGGTCAGCAGACGTTTCGGCTGAACATCGGCGTCGGGTCTCTGCCCCCGTTTCACTAAATCATTTGCAACAGCAAGGCCTCTGTGGTGCAACGTAACTTGCAGTTAGTGTAAAAACTGTGACCTTCAGACTTTGTCGTCTTCAAATTAATCTAAAGTAACGTTACAAATGTTAATTAGAATACAGGGTGTTTACTGTAAAAGCAGTCGCAACAGTTTCTCGCAAGATTTGCTTAAGATCAGTTTTTAATATTATCCTTCCCTTCTGCGCCTGTTCTCAAAGCGGTCCCTTCTTTTCATGTCCAGATATTTTCCTCAGGCATTCGTCCTCAGCGTGAGAGACCTAGGAACGACCGCTCTAGAATTTGATGAAGATGTTTAGAGAGCAACGGAGGATTGCGAGGAAGAAGGAAACAAAGAGAGACCTTCGACCTCTTGCCCAGTAGATCTGAAAGAGTCTGCAGAATTTCTGCGCGCTCTCAGTGTCCTCCGCCGCGGAAATCCCTGGCTTACGTAACGCGACAGGACACGACCCATGAAAGTTTTGGTCGTGGACCGGCAAACGATGCTGAGATGAGTGAGACAGCGGCCTTGAAAGTTTCGTCGAATCATCGTGGCTCGACTTTCCCTTTTCGGCTGGACGCGTCTGTGTCGAGTACCTGGGAGTTGCGGGTTCAGTTCTGCTGCTGAGCGGGACCCGAAATGCGCGTCAGTGACTGGGAATTTTGTCTGAAACATTTTAACCGATTTTGCTGGAGACGGGTGTGGGGGGGGGGGGGGGGGGGGGGGCACATTGGATACTGGAAAAAGCAGTCTGACGTTCTTTATCGCAAGATCACGTGTTCTGTGTCTCATGCAAATTGTTCAATGCCGTTCCTTTCTAAAACTTAAACGTCACAAAGACGTAAATACGTATTTTCGAAATGAAGACGAATGTGACGTGAGAGAGAGAGAGAGAGAGAGGTGACATTGAATATGCAGATGACGCCGACGTTTCTCTTGAAGAGGTTCCTCGAAACTTGCACGGCCGTGGGTGAGGCGAGAAAA